TTCATAGATACTACTGGTTTTATATTTCTGATCATGTAACAAGCTGTAGCCAATTTCTTTGTTACCTCATCAATATGTCTTTCCCAGGTCATATCGTTTTCAATGGTCAGTCCAAGAAATTTAGTATGATTTATGTTTGTAATAATTGTTACTAAATCTCCTATATCCCTTTGTACCTGGTTTTTTTGCAGTAAAGTTTATATAATATGTTTTCATTGTATTTAAAGACATAAAGTTTTTTTTTAACCAATCATCTAGTAAACTGTATACTTCGTTTATTGTATTTCTAAACATAATTGGATTTGCATGTGAGATTAACACACTGGCATCATCTGCAAATAAAATAGGTGTACTTTTTGCCTCCAATATCTTGGGCAAATCATTTATATATATTATAAACAGAAGAGGTCCCAGTATTGACCCCTGTGGAACACCATTAGTTACTTTAGCCCATCCTGAATATACTTTTTTATTGTTAGTTCCATTATAAATGGTAGTTCTCTGAAATNACATATTAAAGGATACGCTATGAGTCTGTTGTTATTGTATGCAATCTATTGTTTATTGTAGGTTGAAGACAGATTGTTAAATAGAACATTTGAAAGAGTGCTGAAATTCAGGTTCTTCATAGTAAAGTTAAAAAAAAAAAAGAAAGTAAAGCGGTGAAGGCCCATAGGATTGTGAGACGTTGAGGGTCCCTAATTATTTAGACCATCAGCTCAAAGATGGCGGTAAGTTTCATTCATAAGCATATTCATGTATTCACATTCCATAAAATCCTTACAAGATTGAAATAACCAATAGATAATAGAAATCGTCCAGAAATATAAACTCATCTAGCTTAGAAATCAAGCTGTTTTCAAAATATCAAGTTTATAGTATACAAGATTGAAATCACACCAAAAAATTTGTCTTCAAAATAGTAAGTGAAACATTGACAATTTTAAGATAATAAACTCAGTCCAAATATTATTTACTAATCATGCTTATACAATATGACGGTTATTTAAAAACCAGTTTATAATATAAGACAAATTTGAAAAATTGAAAAAATTAGTCATATTACAGTAGCCAATTTACAAAGTAATAAAGAATAGAAATAATAATAATTACCACTTTAGAACTTTAAAACCGTATAATTAAATAAGATCTGTTGTAACAGATAATTGAAGTTGTTTACAGAAAAGCTTTAGTCAATTATCATATTGGTTAAAATTTCAATATAATATAATTATACAAGCATTATCTCATAAAATATTCTTCCAATGTATAAAAAGAACTAAAAGAAGTAAGTACTAAAAGTTGTATCTAATTGTTAAACGAGGTTGTTGGTCCTGTAAAGCATGAGGTATGCATAATTTTAATAATCCTTGTTGCCAAGTATTGTAGATGTGATCAAGAAAATATCATATATTATGGGACTGATTTATGTATTGTGCTTCCATCTTGTAGGTGGATAAGGAAACACGGACCCAGATGTTCATATTACGTGAAACTTGAAATAAAGTGTTCCCGCCAGAGAAGCTGCATGCAGTAGATGTACGTGTAAATGCAGTTGATCCAGCATGGCCAATCACAGCTGTGCCTCCTACCATAAATGTGAATCCAAAGTGTTTTCGTGTGAGTATAAATACTGTTTTTACTGTTGCAGTTTAAAACTTGAAATTAATTTAGAGTTGTTAATAAATATTGCATCAATCCTGTAATGTGTGATGGTGAAGTGAATATATTGCTGCGTGTATTAAGTTTGGAGGAATTACAGGGTGATTCCAATACAGAAGTATTGCCGTGGGGTCCTTGGTTATTCACAATAGCAATTTCTTCTTGTTTACACTAAGCTATTAGTGTATATCTACTTCTCCCCACAGGCAGATAGGTTAGCCTGGTTATCATAAACATTCTCATTGAGTCCTCTTTACAGTGTAATATAAAACAAGCAGAAAGTAATACTGTTTTCTGGGAAATGATGCCATATAGTCTGGTAGAATGTTAACAATCTGAAGGCAGCAGGCTCATGGTCTTTGGAATGAGCTGGGGGAAATTTGGAATCCTTTAGTTTATCCCATATAGTAATGGTATTTGTGGTACATTCATCGTTACATGAAACCAAACAGCATGGGATTTACCGTAAGGTGAAGGGTAAAGTTTTCCTGTTCCATTGCACTATGTCGTGAAGGTGTGGTGACACAAGTTCATATATTAATTTCAGCCTTAGTTGAAGCTGGTAGGTCCAGTATAGTTTTCAGCTGCTTTTCTTTTAGAAAAAGAGACTTGGTATCCATTAGATAAGATGCTGGGTGGGCCCCAAAGTTGGGTGTGAATGTAATGGTGAAGAGGATTCCCAGCACAGTCTGTCACTTAAGTCAGTTACTCTCATTGTACATCACATAACAAAGATTCCTCATGTGTAGTTTTTATACAGAAGAATTGTGTGATAGTTTCCTGTATGCTCAAGGGTCAGAAAAAGAATCTTGGTGTTCAGTGAGTAGAGCTGGGCTTAGCTATTAACCCAAACTGTTATAAATTTATTTTATTTCTGATTTATTTAACGAGTCTTATGGTAATTCATACTGTATACTGTATACTGTCATACTTCAGAGGGTAGGATGGCTAGGGATTAATGAATTTAAAGGATTTAGAAGGAAGCAGTCATGGTGTAATTTGAGGTACTATCTCTGCAGTTGCCTGAAGGGGGCTGACGAGATGTACAAAAAAGTTCGCTCAGAGTAGCCAGTCTCTGGACCAAGATTTAACACTGGAACATTCTGAATATGAAGCAGGAGCACTGCCTGCTCAACTGCGGTGTTTAGTAGCAGTTAGAAAGAACAGAAGGCTGATGTAATGAAAATTGTGGCAGAGATTAGCTTGATGGAATGTTCAATTTGCTTTCAGCAGCAGGCACTGCCAGCTTCTAATTCCCAGCCTTCTTCCACTGCTGTGACCGCTACCCCTCCAGCTACACCAGCAGTTCCTGCCACAGCCATGGAAGGTCCGCATACAATTAATGAGGCCAAAATGAGTGAGCAGTGGCTTAAGAAGCAGAAGGATCTGCTTGAATGTCAGAGAAAATTGGAATTGGAATTGGATTTGCTTCAGTCAAAAGCAAGATTAGAAGAACAGCAGAAAGAGTTAGAGAGACAGACTGGACATCTGCAGTCTGAGCAGGTAAGAGTGAGGAGCTGCCATAGTGTTGTGCACAGTTTTTAATATAAATACTAATGACCTACCTTACTGCCTGCTACACAGTTCTGCAGCAGGCAGTTATTGTTCAACTTTTGAAGAAATTCCCTGTTGTTAAAACAGCACAGTTCAGTGGCATCCTTAAGAAAATCTTTCATTTCCTTTGTCCTAAGCCAAATGAATGCAGGTAACATCTCTAATCATTCTGTGTTGAATTCTGTTGTAAAAAATTTTCTGTTTATTTATTCGTGTGGGAACTTGTACATTTAATGTGCAGAAACTTAAAAATTTGTTCCCTGGTGCATCATGAGATGGCAGAACAAGCCATTTTAATCCATATGTAGGCAAGCCCTGTTTCAAGGTATTGTGTTGTTCTTGTAGCCTGGAAAGTGTTTGGAATTTATTTCTCCAATGTCTGAGTCTGCATATTTTTCACTCTGTGCATGGTATCAGTTGCAGCTTGAGGGAGGTCAAGGAAGATTGTCCCTATGCTTAAATGAAAATCATGAAATATCCCATTATGTAATTTTCTTGATTCTTATTTTTTTTGTTATTATCATGTGTGACAAGTGTATGGAGCAGATTCCTCAGGAGCTAATATTCTCTGAGCTATTCAAGAAATTGTCCACCTTTTGTAGAACCTGGGGTTGATAGCAATGCCCCCATAATGATGAATCCCATAGCATCAGTTCACATATCCATTTTAACATTGCCTTGCCATTTACACTAAAATCTCCGAAGAGGTCTCTTCCTTTCAGGTTTCTCCATTTAAGTTCATATCTCTGTGGTCTAGTAGTCAAGAGTTCCTGGCTACAGATCCAGAGGTCCCGGGTTCGATTCCCTGCGCTACAAGCTTTTTTGAGAAGCAGTGGGTCTGGAACAGGGTCCACTCAGCCTCGTGAGGATTATTAAGGAGCTATTTCAAGGAAATAGCGGTTCCAATCTAGAAAACCGAAATTAACGGCCATGGGGATCTGTTGTGCTGACCATGTGGCACCCTCTGTCTGCAGAAGTTGGCACTAACTTCGCCAACAAGCTGCAGTTGCTTGGTTGATATAGTGCACTTATGAACTATAGGCCATGGAGTTGTTCTTCCTCCCCCCCCCCCAGATGTGCTCTGCTGAACTCATTTTTGATCACCCTAATAATACAACGTTAAGGATACAAATATTAATGATTCTTATTATGCAATTTCATGTTACTTCCTTCCTGTTCAATCCAAATACTCTTATCAGTCATCCTGTTTTGTATTTAAGAATGATGTTTTGGTAGCTGGACTGTGTCTCTGTGTTCAGTTAAAAGTATTTTATCCAAATATTCTCCTCAGCATCCTATTCTCAAACATGTTAAATCTTTTTTCTTCTCATGGGGTGAGAGACCAAGTTTCACTCCTATATGAAACAAGAGGACAGTTATATTTCTATACATTGTGAGGTGATTTAATTGATCACAGAAATGGGCCTGTGTTGATTTGGCCTGGTCTCACCCTAACCCCTGTGGATTTATTACCAGAAATTTACCAGGGCATTTGTTTCAGTGTTTGAAATAAAACTGAATCCCCCCCCAGTATATTTACTCTCTGTAAACAACCTCTTTTTCACAATACAGTAGATTGTGTTTCAAGTACTTTTTAACCTTTAAGAGCCGAGCGACGCCATATGGCATCGTCAAAATAAAGTCAAGGGGACGAATGACGCCATATGTCATCGTGCAG